AAGAAATTAGTGCAGTAACAGGGCTAGGTGCTTTTAGGCCCTTCCGCTTTCAGCTAAGAGAATGCAAATGCCATTAAGATGAAGAGGCAAAAGCTGCTTCATCTTGGACTTCTGCCTCCAGATATGTGAGAGAATAATTTATATTCTTACCACAGTATCCATAAATTGCCCTTCAGGTATTTTGATCTAACAGCACAAATAAACTCCCCGGCCTTACCTCAGGGAGCCTGTTACCCTTATGTTGAGAACTAGTCCTTCCAGGTCAGTTTGCTTGTTTCTGATAGGGTGCTCAAGGGACTAGGTATTATTTTATATCAACTGTGCAGCCTGTGGCCTCCCCATTGGACAACTGCGGTTTGAATTCTTTCGTAATGTGAAGACAGGTCCATTATTATGTCAGTGAATGTTTATCTGGCTTTTACACCTTGACTCAAGTTCACTGGCAGCTGGGCTTGGTGGCACACATCTGTAATCCCAGCACTCTGAGAGGCAGAGGCAGGTGGATTGCTGTGATTTTGAGGCCAGCCTGGTCTACAAAGCAAGTCCAGAGCAGCCAAGGCTACACAGAGAAACCCTGTGTCAAAACAAAAACAAAAAAAAGCTCACTGTCTTCTGTGGCCCCATTTCATCTCTTCACAGTTTGTTAAAAGCCTTTAAGACCAATAGTCTCAGCAGGACATAAGTGTGCACCTTTACTCTGCCCACTGGGAAGCAGACGGATCTCAGCTTGAGGCCAGCTTGGTCTACATACTGAGTATGTATGTATCAGCCAGGGCTGGCTGTTTGGTTTTTTGTTTTTGTTTTTTAAAGGGTTTTTGGTTTTTTTTGAGATAGGGTCTCACTAGATAATTCAGGCTGTCCTGGAACTCACTATGTAGACCAGGCTATCCTCAGATTCACAGAGATCCACCTGCCTTGGCCTCCTGTGTCCTGGGATTAAAGGTGTGCGCCACCATTATGCCCAGCTTGTTTCTTTTTGTTTTTAATTTTGTGTTTTTGTGTGCCACAACTACAGAGATGACCACATGGGGATGGGCTGTTGCTTTTTTCCCATTCTGATCAACAACAAAGTCTTAGTTTTATAATTTTTGACATCTGATAGAGTAAGTTCTCCTGCTTTGAGGGGTTAGGACACTGTGTAGCTCTCCCTGGCTGGCCTGGAACTATGTAGATAGACCCAGCTGGCCTTGAACTCACAGCAATCCACTTGCCTCTGCCTCCCAAGTACTGGTATTAAAGGCCTAAGCCATGGCTGGCTCCCACTCTGTTCCTATTTCATTTTGTCTTGAGTATTATAAAAATTTTAGGATTACTTTTTTAATTTTATTTTTTTCTTATCAGTTACATTTTATCAACTCTGTATCCCAGCTGTATCCCGCTCCCTCATTCCCTCCCAATCCTACCCTCCCTCCCTCATCTCCACCCTGCAGTTTGTAGTTTGAGAGCACTCCAGAGAAACAGAAAATATCTAGTCTTTTTATGAATAGCACATACTAATACCTATAATTTCTTTTACTATATGTTTCATCATCTACACTATAAATAGGGAAAATTTTAGTCAATCTTACTGAGTTTTATTCCTCCTGAGGTGTATGAGCCCCTGTCTTTAAACATTTTCAGACCGCGAAGCCTGTAATAGAGATCTTGAATCTGTAACTCATTCTGGCCAGTCAGAGTTTGTCAGTGGTCTCTCCTTTCCCTGCAGCAATTATGCTATTGGAGTTTGCTCATGGGCAGATGCCTTAAGACTTCATCTAGCTATGTGCTTCTCTGTGCTTAATGATCTCCAGGGAATAAGGAAGACTTCCAAATCGTAGCCAGATAAACAATTTTAGGATTTTCCTAAAAAGACTCAGACATAATTTTTCTCAGGAAAAGACATGAAATGGATCATAATGCAGAAAGTCCCCAAGAATGCATGACACAGAGACCAAAACCCAAAAGTGAGACACAGAATGACAGTGACTATAGCAATCCACTCAGCTCTGCTGTATGTAACTATGTCAAGCAGCTGTGCTACCTTCATGACTCTTACCATTTCCAGAGGATATGGCTGTGCCACCTAGCAAAATCAATTTTTTTTCTCTCCTGAACCTACCTACTAATATGTCTCTTGCCTGGACTACCTGGTAATGCCTCTCAAATTATTTTTACAAATAATGTGAATTTAATGGATATTGCAAAAAAAAAAAAAAAAAAAGTCCCCAAAGTGGACATGATCTCTGAAAAATAGAAAATCAAGGTTTTGAATGATAGCTCATTAGGATTATTACATAAGAAATCTACAGGCCAGGCATACTTAATCCTAATACTTCGGAAGCAGAGAGAGGGGAATCTCTCTCTCTGGAGGCCAGCCCAGTCTACACAGCAAGTTCCAGCATGGCCTGTCTGGAACTTTTCAGAGACTGTTTCAAAAAACTAAACCAAACCAAACCAAGAAATGTTCACAGGAAGGCTATGGCTGTTCAGTCGGTAGACTGCTTGCCTAGAATGCATGCAGTCCTGGGCAGTCTCTAGCACTGGATAAAACCATGTAGGGATACACCCTGTAATCACAGCACTCAGCAGGTAGTGGCAGAAACTTAGCAATTCCTGGCTACCCTCAGCTACCTAGCTTGAAGAACAACTTGAGACGTGCGAACCATTTCAAATTAAGAAAATAAATGCAGAGCTATGTGCAATAGTCAGATGGATAGCCATTGTGATATGCCTCAAGGCCAGTGCTCAAAGTTCTCCAGATCTCTTAAAGTGAGCCCTAGCTCACAGCTGATCCAGTTCACTTTATTAGACAACTCTCCTCTCCTCTCTCCCAGTTACCCAGGTAACGTAGGGTTAACACAGGATTATACAGAAAAAGAAATACAACAGTATTTTTTCTTACTAATTTCCCTTGGGGTGGAGAGTTCCATACTATTAGAGCTCTTATAGAGGTTGGGTCACATTCCCAAATGTTTTCATTGTGGGACAAACAGCTTTTCTCTACAGCCACTCTTAATTTGACCACTGCCATCAAAACCACCTTCTGACCAACATGGGTCCTTGTGACCCAGGCTGGCCTCAGTATCTCTCTAGCCAAGGGTAATATTGAGCTTTTAATATTCCTGCTCTACTTCCCAAGTTCTGGGAAACCAGTATGCATTACTGGTAATGCATGGATTTCACAGTACTGGGGATCAAACCCAGTTTTTTGCATACTAGGCAAGCACTCTCCCAACAGAGCTGTCTCCAGCCTCTGCCCTGTGATTATACATTTTAAAAAAAGGTTTATTTTGAATGCTCTTATGTGCACGTACATCTGCATGCCATGAAGAGGGCAGTAGAGGGTATAGATGGTTATGAGCCACCACGTGGTTGCTGGGAATTGAACTCAGGACCTGTGGAAGAGCAGACAGAGCTCTTAACCACTGAGCCATCTCTCCAGCCCCCATTTTCTTATTCAGTTCTCTTTCCCTAACTCAAGGATAGTAGTCTCTTCGTACATTTGGTAACTCTGCTACACCTTACAGATTTCTGAGGTTGAGTCCTTTAAATCATTGCTTAAGACTCCTTTTACAGCTGGGTGGCGGCAGCATTTCTTCAACCCCAGCACTTGGGAGACAGAGGCAGGCCAATCCCTTGAGTTGGAGGATAGCCCGATCTACAAAGTGAGTTCTAGGATAGATAGGGCTACAGAGAAAAACCTGTCTTAAAACAAAAAGAATCCTTTGACAGGCAGACAATGTTGGGGAAGCCTGTTCTTTTTCTTGAAGGGGAACAAATGAGAAATGGTTCTCGGGGAAAGGGAGGTGGGGGGAGGGACTTGCGAGAGCAGAGCGGAGGTTGGGATGTAATATATGTAGAGAGAAAGGATCCTTTGACTGAATTCAACACTCATTCTTGACAAAAGCACTTATTAGGTGTCAGTTGGCAATTGCAGCAAGTTGAAATGCTTACCTTATAATTTAAAACATTCCCAAAAGACGTAAAAGCCACTTTATTTAGTACCTTTATCAAAATGTATAATATCCTCAAAATAAGTCTACCTATATAAACTTTGAAAAAGGAAAATACTATAAAAATGGGGTGAATTTATCTTTAACCTTAGTATATTTAATTATTAAGATCAAAAGGCAAAAAAGAATGCAATGGTACAAATACTATACTTTAAAAAGGAAATCTATCACAGAGTCCCCTGTTTTACAAATTAACACTGTAGATAGAGCTGGCACAGTTTGGGTGCTACACACCTACGTTTAATCTTTAGCCCAACCAAAAACAAAAGTAACAGAACAAACTGACACTATGCACTTGCTAATAAGACAGTGGTCAGTAGTATTCCCCAAAGCACTCTAAGTGAACTTCATAAGGAAATATTAAGCAGCCCCCCCCCCCCGAGAGCTCTATTGTCAATAACTGGCCAACATTTTTCCATAATGTAATAGAAGATTAACATCAACTTGCACCTTGGGAGGCAAGTTTGAGTCCAGTCAGAGTAAAACTGAAAACAACAGATATTTTTGTATGTTTCATTTCCGAGGCTAAGAGCTGACAGGAGTGGGAAAAGGTGCTTGCTGTCAAGTCTGACGGCCCTAGCCCCACCCTCGGAAGCCGCCTGGTGGAAGGAGGAGGCTCTTCTAGCAGGTTGTGCTCTGGCCCTCTACATGTGTACAGTGGCGTGTGCGCACAGAGACCCACAGTGAATGCATGGGAAAGAAGCATAAACAGAGACTATGCACGCACTGACAATGAAGTGGCTCTTGGACTGGGAGTATAATCGCATCTGTAAATAGAATGCAAAGATCTATAGAACAAGGTAAGGTAGTAACAGATGATGCTAATACACCTATTCTGACAACTGTCTAATAAGTAGTATGTTAAGACACTGGGAACATTTATCTATAATGGTGATATTTTCACAATTTTTTGTCTCCCTTACCCCCCCAGCATGCCATGCACACGAAGTACTTTATAATTTTTTAAATGCAGTAAAAAATAAATAAAATAGAAAATAAGACCACCACCAAGTTTGACAAAATTTATTGTAATTTTAGTAAAGACATTCAGCTCAGTCACCTCTCTCCTCATCTTGACCTCAGGTTAATATGTCATTTGCGTCAAGTAAAGAATATGTAGGAGAGATGTTATTTCAACGAACAGGAAAATGGACAAATGGACAGGTTGCCAACATAAAAGTTAAATTTATGTATCTTGATATACTTAAATCATGTAAGAACTAATAGTGCTATGTACATTTCCATTGTTTTACTTGGGGCTTATTAAGTAAACTAAAATGTAATTAACAAAGTGTTAGGAATATCGGCAGGCTGCTTCTTGGAAGTCATTACATTAAAAAACACCTAGTGAACAATTACCACCAATAAAACTCATTGAAGCTGCCTCCAATTAACATTGTAATTTGAAGGAAAATTTATTTCTTTTGTCTGTGACTAATAAAGATGCATTTAATTGCCACGTTAAAAAAGCCCATATACAATACAAAAATACAAAACAAACACCCTGCAATACACAAATCTAAGAGTACATGTGGTGAGAGACTCATAATGAAAATGTGTTTGAAGAAGCATTTCTGTCCTAGTTCAGTCATTAAAATGTGCTTTTGAAACCACTGGTCAGTATGTATATACTTAAAATAAGCCATGTAGTTGTACAAATAAGAAATCTTATGAGTTCAATTCAAATTGGATCTAATAAGTAACTTAAATGCTTCAAAAGTCACAGAAAGTATGTTGCCTCATCTGTCATACAATGTTATACTTTTTTTTTTTTTTTGGTATTGAAACCTTTTAAAAAATAAAAGCCAGCCAAATACTTAAAGCAGTATGTACATTTATATTTTTGGTGGTGGTTTGTACTTTAAAAGAAACAGCTTCCTTATGATTTGCCTCAAGTTCTGATGGAAATACAGGAACTAGAATAAAAACCAAGAGAAGCACATTCAAAATACTGATTTACTTTGGTAGCAAATAGTGTCCTTTGAAGACTCCTGAATGGAGGCAAGCTCCAGCAAAGTGGGCTATTTCTAATACTAAGTACTTCACATAGGAATTTTTGACAAAAAAAAATTTTTTTAAGAGCAAAGCGACTGTACCCACTGATAGCAATGCAATACTAGTATATGATAACCCAAAACAAAATGAAATGCCCACAGGAAAAGGTTTAATTTATCTAAATTTACTTTCAGTCAATAGTCCAGTAACATTGTCTTCTGAATCCAATACTCCCTCTCTCTGTATGGCTGTTCCTGGAAGCCAGACAGTTTAGGTAACGAGGGAGTGAAGTCAGGAGAGGAACTGCTTACAATTTTAAGTAGACAGTAACTTTTGGCTTCCCTCTTAATGTGCTAATAATAGTTGTGTCTAAAAAAATATGCAATTCTTAGAAAGGTACCACTTCTGATTTATTATCTGTAACCTTTGGAAACTAATCACATGAAACTACAAAATTAGCAAATGTCTTGAAATCTGTATATAAAACATAAATTACCTCTAATTTCAAACTCTCATTTATTAGTGTACCACTCAATCTTAAAAAAAAAAAAAGAAAGAAAAAGAAGAAAAAAGGAGGAAAAAAAAAAAAAACACAAAACAAAAACGGCTCCAAAGCTAGTCTTACACCTTTCTTAACAAAAGGAGACTGTTCCTTCCAAGTGCACCCACCCACACCCCAATCTCAAAACACTTCACTTAATTGTCTTGGTCGTGTACATTTCCAAGATGAGATTTTATATTTCGCTCCCACAGCTTCTGGTTATCAGAAAAGCCATGCTTTCCTTTATTAAAGGAGTTTGGTCCGGCTGATGTTGGTGTGTCCCTGTGTTAAAAGAAATGCAGTTTATTCAAATTGTTGTTGTCTTAAACCAATTAATATACATTTGCTTAGCATCCATTATAATAGAAGGCCATACAGAGACTTTTTAAAATGCCTTTTCTATAAAGGGTTAAGCCTTTAGAGTCAGTATGTCTGCAGTGAGGATAGGAATGCAAAGGGGAACGTAGTGTTTTGTATTGTCAGCTCAGGCTGCCTGTAATGCAGAGGTCCACCTGCCTCCTGCCTTCTGAATATCAGGATTGTAGGCATGCACCTGCAAGCCCACTCTGGTGTTGTTGCTGGATTTTTTTGGCAGTACTGAGGAAAGCCTAGGGAGTGGCTAGTGCATCCTGGTCAAGGGCTCTACCACTGAGCTCTACTCCACACTCAATTGTGCAGTTTTCAATACACATTTATGGTAATACAGTAATAGCAGATGCCGTTACAGCTCTAAAGCCACTGCTGAGGGCTGGAGGAATAAACTCAGTTGAGAAATACTTATCCAGAATACCAGTTCAATTCCTAGCACTGCAGTGAACAAAAAAATCTTGCAAGTAAGTGACATAAAACCCACAAAAAGGTTAAAAAACTACTTTGGTGGCTTACCACCAGCATTTGTAAAAACGAAACAAAAATCCAAAGATGTGTCAAACACAGAAATGTGCAGCGTCACACTTTATGTAAACTTCTGTTTCAGTTTCAGTTTAAACGTGTGAGCTGGGTGGCACACACCTTTAATCCCAGCACTTTGGAGGCAGAAGCAGGTGAATAAGAAATCTCTGTGCGTTCAAGTCCAGCCTGGTCTATATAGCAAGCTCTAGGACAGATGGGGCTATATGGTGAGACCGTCTCAAAAATAAATAATGAAAAAGTGTGTGTATGTGCACGCAAGTACTTCATTTGGACTGGTAACAATATCAGATACATTTCTTACTCTAAGGTCTAGTAGAGAGGATGGAAGGCTGGCAGCCACGGGACTGCTTTTATTCGAATCATAGACGTAAAGCTCATGGATAGATTTAGATTTTAATGCTTTGTAGGCTCATGTGGGCATAGTACGGATTCACATAAAATGTGCAATTTATTCTTTCCCTCGATTTCCCTATAGCTCTGCAATAATTATGAAAACCTATGGTACCTTCCAATATTCTTCATCCGCATCTTTGCTTCTGGAGGCATTTCTTCTGGCTCACTCTGTAGAACAAGTAAATTGAGATGTTCCAATTATTCACTTGGTTACTAAGAATGCTAAATTTTAGCTCTATAATGTGTTTTAATGCCATCAATTTTGTTAAAAGAAAACTAGTGAATTATCTTAACAGTTACTTTAAAAAATATAGTAAAACCCTCAAATTCTATACATTATATATATGAACTGGAAGCCAACAGTGTTCCACTAAGTACAATTAGTATGTTGTCTTTTTTTAAATTTTTTTTTAAATCTTAGGTTGAGAAGATGGCCCAGTCAATAAGAATGAGGACTTGAGTTTAATCCCCAGCTATGCTAGGTACAGTGGTGCCTGCCTATAATTCTGGTATTGGCGAGGTGGAGACAGAAGGATTCTAGGGGCCTGCTGGCCAGCCTGTCTAAACGAATTATCAAGTTCCAAGCCAACAGCGCCCTATCTCAAAAAAAAAAAAAAATTGTGAAGAATAATTGAAAAGACATCTGATGCTAAGCTCTGGCCTTCACACGTATGTATGAGCGAGTACCCCTACACAACATGAATATGAATACACACACACCACACAATTTAAACCACAAAATCAAACTTTGACTAGTATAAAGAGAAGGTAACTCTCACATACTAATTAGGCAAGGATGTAAATTATTTGTACAGCCAAAACACAATATAAGAGGTTCCTCAAAAACTTGTAACTATAACCAAAGAAAGAAACAACTATATCAACAAGACATACGAATTTCATGTGCTCGGGTGCACTTTTCACACCAGCAAAGACACGGAGCCTGCCTAGGTGTTTACGAGTAACTGGTTCAAGAAAATGTCAAAGTATGTGAGAGGATCGGCACGGGTGCCCTGAGAGAACAGAAGCCGCAGATCCCCTGCAGCCACAGTTAGAGATGCTGGAAGCTGCCAGACACGGGTGCTAAAACATCAGGTCCTCTGGAAGGGAGGAAAGCACTCTGAACGTTGAGCTATCTCTCCATTCTTGTTCACCAAGGTATTCTTGAGCCGTAACACAGAATAAAAACAAATGAAACTGAAGAGGGTCAGGCGCAGTGATGCACACCTTTACTGTTAGTACTCGGGAGGCACAGGCTGACAGATTTCTGTGAGTTCCAATTCTGGATACAGAGTAGACCGTCTTAAAAACAAAGCAAACCCCAAAACTTCTTTAAAATTAAGGAAGACAGTGAGTTATGGTGCATAGCTCTGAGCAACAAAGTCATAGCCTAAGGTAGTGCTTACTTAGGCACACTTCTCCATCTACAAAGATGAACCAATGCTCGATACAAAACAAACAAACAAACAAACAAACAAACATGTGAGAGCAGCCACACTGTTAAAAGCACTGCTGCAATACAGGTACCAACAGTGCCCATTTACATACTTCACCTACTTTCTATGTTACCTTTTCCTTCTAAACTTGTACATATCTAAATTTTTCATCAGCTGAATATGGTAGAATGGTAGGAAGATCAGGAGTTGAAGTCTATCCTCAGCTACCTAGTGAGTTCATGGGCTAGCCTCAGCTAAAAAGTCTGTGTCTTAAAGACTAAACAAAAGAAAAAACAATCAAATGAGATTTATGAGCCTTTAATCCCAACTTGCCTAGTATTCACAAGGCTCTAGGCAGGTTTGATCCTCCACACCACATAAAAACCAGATATGGCCAGGCATAGTCCCATCCCAGCACTTGGAAGGCAGAGGCAGGTGGAGCTATGTGAGTTCAAGCCCAGCCTGTTCTACAGAGCAGGTTTCAAGATAGCCAGAGCTACATAGAGAAAACCTGTCTTGGGGGCAAAAACAAACAAAAAAAAACTGGGCATGGTAGTGTATTTTTGTGATCCCAACACAAGAGAGGTGGAGGCAAGATGATTTGAAATTCAAAGCCATCCTACATATCAAGTAACAAGCCAGTCAGCCTGAAATGTGTGTGACCATGTTTTTCACAAAGAAGGAAAAAACAACAACAATAACAAAAACCTGGAAAATTCCACTGATCATCCTTGAGTATGATGTCAAGACTATTGGGGGCACAAGAGAACTGGGACAGAAGGACTAGCAAGAGACACCTTAAGCTCACTCTGGAACAAACTCATTGAGAGGAAATTCTGGTAGAATCCCCTGCACTGTTGTTCCTGCTACAGATGTACCATGCAGCTGCTTTTTGTAGTCTGCAGGCACAACGGTCATCACTGAAGACACCAACTATAAGATTATGGAAGGCAGCAGTACAGAAGGTCAGGCATGAGAAGGCTACTGAGATAGTCAGTGGGTAAAGGTGCCTGGCATCAAGCCACACAACCTGTAACTGAACCCAGGGACCCACACAATCGAAGAACTAACTAAGTTGTTTCTGACCTCTATACATTCAAGTGAACATGTGCACACAGATGTGTGTGCGCGTGCCCACGTGCACGCGCACGCACACACACAGCAAATGTCAAAAAGGAAACTCTTAAAGCCTGGCATGGTGGCATAGGCACTGCTATACATACTTCCTAGTGTGTACAACTATAAGCATTTGACTTGATTCTTAAGCTTCTTGCCTAAATTAGCAACATTTGAAGACTTAGCTTTTTGTCAACAAACAAAACACATCAAATTTTTAGTTTTTGATATGTACCTCAGTTGTAGACAGTTACTTGGAATTTACTTGGCAGTAAGATCAGTATCTAGCACCACAAAACAAGAAATCCAATTTTCTTATGCATTACACAAATTTTACTAAGATTAATTTAAGTACCATTAGTACAAACTCTAACTTTCTATTAATATCATTCTCTCTTTTTTAAAAAATTTTATTATTTTTAATTATGTGTGGGTGTGTGTGTAGGTGCTTGTGCAAGCCAAGGGAGCTTTGAGTTACAGGCGTTTGTGAGCCACATGGTGTCGGTGTCAGGACTTGAACCCAGATCTTCTGGAAGAACAGTACATGCTCTTAACCACTGAGCCATCTCTTCATCCGCCATTATCTTCTTAAAAGGACTAGTTAGTTAAAGTCAAAATAAGGGCCAGCAGGATGGTTCAGTAGGTAAATAGCGTGGCAGGTAAGCCTGACAGCCCTGACACATTTCTTGGCCTCTATATGGAGGAAAAGAACTGACTCCCCAAAGTTATCCTCTAACTTCCATATGTTAGAGGCACATATGTGTGCATGGCACACATGCATTTCATGCACACACCACACTCACACACACCTGTACATGCACACACATAAAATCTTTAAAAATAAATAAACAGGTATTAGCTTACATCTTCATCTTCATTGAAAGCTGCTGCTACTGAAAGTGTTTTTGGAGCAAGAGTTGGAACCGTTTCCTTAGGCTTCTGAAGAAGAAATAGTAACAGAATTATCACAAAATTTATATTGTTTAATAAAAAATAAGTTCTAGAAAGTTCAATTTTATTCATGGTTTTTCTTTTTGCCACTAGATGAATTTTTTTTATTCATGTTTTAGTCATTTTTTTATGTTTTCATAAGCTTACACCAAACCCATTGTATCTTTGAATATAAGAGTTATCAGCAGGTAGGTTTACTTTACTAATTTCGTATATCCAACAGTCTTTTACTCATTAGGACCTACAGTTTATTATCTAGGCTAAGGACACTCACAGAAGAGAACAATGACTAGCTGGCAATGCTGCTGCCTCACATGACTATACAGTGCTTTTAGAATATAAGGGACATCACTCTGTCTTTCTGTACCAGTTAGTTTCTCCTTTGGCCTGAAATCCTGTTCCTCTCTATTGCTTCTTTCTATTCACTCTAAATTCTCCTCACTGTCCCACTTAAGTCTTCTCACCACCCATTTCTTTTCTATCCCACTGCCATAAGCTCCCAGGGTCACCAGTGATTAGTGTGCCACATCTGATTAGGATCACCAGCTCCTTTTTGAGAATATGTCTCTGTTGGCTTCTGGCTTTTTATAAAGACTATCTCAATTCTCAGACCTTCAGTAGGGTATCTCCATTGTTTCTAGTCAAGAGAGGTATCTGTTAGTGATTCTTCCTTCTTTGGTCTTAACTACAAAATTCTCTGAATATCCCAAAAGGCTCTATCATCTGTCCATGGTCAGCTCTATTTAAGAATTCCCACAGTTTCATAGTGTTTTTAAGTATTCAGGCTTGAAAACCTTTCCTTTGTCTTCCAAGGTCCTTTTGATTAATCCTTAGTGAACACTCTTATTTTTCTCCCTCTCTCCATGATACTAGCACACTACCTTCCAATCTTAGCACCACTCAACTGGTAGAAATAGCATGTTCCAGGGTAAGGGGTACACAGCTTAGTGAGAGAGAGACTATCCAACATTATTGAGTCCTAGGGTTCAGTCTCCAACACTGGAGGGGAGAGGATACTAACCATTCACACCCCTTTGCATTCTGTTTTAAACTAGTGATGGTCCTAAGATGCTAAAGGACTTATGTCTTGAGATTCTTTATTATGATATGAAGGCTCTTTATTTGATTCTAAGACCTCACTTTGATTTTCGCTTTCCAAACTTAAAACTTTCCTACATAGGCTTTTCTGAACCTAACTTAACAATTATTAAACACTGTCAACTATTTTATAAAAAGGAGAAACTGGACTCAGAGTATGCCACAGAGTATTAGAATAAGAACACTTGCTTAATGTTTAAACGTAGGATATGATCAAGATACACTTTTATAAACATATACATGTTTAAACTACTAAAAAGTAAATAAAAGTATTATCGTTTAGAAATCAAGTATTTATGCAATTAGGTCTATGTGATTTTTAAAAATTACACATGAAGAACCAGAGGATATAAAGAAAAATGTTAATGAAGTAAAAGCATCAATCATTTTGTTCAAAATAAAATTTTCTTTTTAAAAAGAAAAAAAAAAAAATCCATGGTGGAATTTGAGGTTCTGAGAAATGGTTGCTCTTTTAATGCAGAAAGATAGTTCAAACAGATTCCAGTAAGAAAATGATTGAAAATGTATTTTCATTTTAAAAATCACTGAAATGAACATCTATGGCATAAATAAAACCATATACAGAATTAAAAAAAAAAGAATTAAAAATCAAAACCAACCAGAGATAAAAATTTTTTTTGCTACATCAATCCTGTAATTTACAAAGAGCTAATTTATTGAGTTATTATTTCAATCTGTGGTAATAATGTTGGGTATTAATTCCAAGACCTCTCAAATGTTAAGCATATCCTAAGTAGCATAGCTACAGCACAGTACAAGTTATTACTGTTAATAGACCAATGATAAAAGGCTTAAAAAAAAATCCCCAAATATCTTCTAGAGATGTTGCTCAACTAAGAAAAATTCTAAGTGATTACTTTATAAATCACACATTTGTGACAATATGCCTTTTTTCTTCAAGTGCTTTGAGACAGAATGCATAGGCTTTTCCTATGGGTTCATTAGATGACTTACATGTAAGTTCACATGTAAGTTAAAGCACTTTACCTTTTTAACACTTGCTTATTTTCTCTATATATACCAGGAAAAACAGGCTGAGGAAACTTGTCTTTAAGGGTTTAAGGGCCATTCCAAGAGGACACATAAAACAACTCACACTTGCTCCGAGTCTGATGGAGATGGCGGATGCTTTCCTTGTCGTCTGACTACCTATGGCAAATCCAAACTTGGACATCTTTGTAGGCTTTGTTGGGAGGTCTGCAGCTTCGTCTTCAGCTGATCGCTTTTCAGCGCTGCGACTGGAACTTTCCCCTCCATTACTGGAAGAAACAGTCTTAGTTTTCACAGGTTTTTCTGCTTCTTCTTCAGGTCCTGGTGAAGTCGAAACAACTTACCAAGATGAGCTATTTTTACTGAGCAGATTGATGGGAGCAGCAACCTCAAAAAGCATCTTTACAAGGAAGATACCTCTGCAGCTGTCACCTACTGACCCAACAGTCTCTTCACTGCTTGTTAGAGTGTACAGCAGGAACTGAGATTGTGTGGCAGTACAAGAGGCTCCCATGAATTAACTAGCATAAAATACAGAGCAATTTAAAATTATAAACACAGAGTTCACAAAAAGTACATACCCATCAGCTAAACATTACTGTATTAGTTGTACATTAATCTTGGTTCCATTAGATGAATTTTGATGTTCAGAAATTAAGATCAACAAATTCTCTTATACAAACTAACTTGTAAATAATCATATGGTAAGGTAAAACATATGGCTAACAAATTATAATATTCTCAGTAATGTAGTCCTAATCACACAAAACATGTAGCCATGAACATGTGAATTCAGTCTACAGCCTTTCCTTCCCTCCTTCAGCACACTGAACCCAGGGCTTTGCATAAACAAGGCAAGCACTCTACACTGGGCTCCAGCCCCAGCTAGTTATGCTCCTAAGTGTTGTGTTACTAAAGATACACCTTTCATAACCTTTGGAGTTGAAAAAGAATTTCAAAGTAATCTCTTGAGAGTTCATCCTACTCTGAAAGCGGTCTAGCACCTGTTTTAAACTACTTGTAAGAGCTATCCAAAGTCAGATTTTGGCTTATATATTTATTTTCTCATGAATGAAGGAAGAGCTAATCTTAACTTCCAAGGAAGTACATAGATATATGTAGATGTAGAAAACAAGATGTCTTTCAAAAATTTTGCTTGTATGTATTTAAGTCAATAAGGACTTAACATCTTGAGTAGCTTATGCTTGCTGTGTAAGAAACATATCAGAACATATCATAAAGACAGAAAAGACTGGCTGATCTTCTGTCCAGTCTACTACATGTTGCATTCTGAGACAATGAGTCAAACTCACTTGTAAAGAAACAGAAGATGCCTTAACACGTTCAAGAAGAAAATGCGGCAAAGCAAGGATGGGGGTGGGGGAATCTGTCAAACATAGTAACTGACAAGTGAAAGAATTAAAGACTCAAGACCACAAATCTCCTTTCATGCAGTTTGGGAATGGTGCATCATTAATCAGTACTTTGTGGCACCGAGGACTGAACACGTTACGTAAGTGCTATACCACTGACCTACATGCCCAAATAGTTTTCTCATTTACAGAGGCTCTTGCTGTGTTGCCAAGGCCAAACATTCCTGTAACTTGCACACCTCCTGCTTCATCTGCAGGGAACTTGGGATCATGGGCTTGTATCACCACACTGGTTCAACAACAAGCACTTTGAACAGAATATCTGATTTTGTACAGGGTTAAAAAAAAAAAACAACTATTGGGTTTTTTTTGTTTTTGTCTTTTTGTTTTGTTTTGTTTTTGAGACAGGATTTCTCTGTGTATAGCTTTGGCTGTCCTGGAACTCACTCTGTTGACCAGGCTGTCCTGAACTCAGAGAGATCCAATGCCTCTGCCTCCTGAGTGCTGAGATTAATGGCATGTGCCATCACCACCAGGTATAAACTACCTTCTTTAAACCCCGTTTCAAAACAAAACAAAAAAACCTAAACAAACAAAACCTAGATGGATAGACAGACAGAGAGACAGACAGTAAATTCAAGGTCAGTGGTCTACAAAGTGAGGAGTCCTGGACAGTCCAGGACTCTGGACAGAGAAACCCAACAAGCAAACAAAAAAAAAACAGTTTCCCCAAGTGGACTGGAGGGAAAAGAGGTAGTTCAAAAAGTTTCTTTAGTAGAGACACATTTACTTTAATTATGGGAATATTCTATTTACTAACATAGAGCACAGCAATGAAGTGCATCCTTAGCATAAACGTTGCCTTGGGTTCAATCTCCATCACAAATAACAAGACTAAATGGATAGAAAAAAAAATACTTATATTTCCAAAACTGTGGGCTATGCCACAAAAGAAAAACTGCCAAGTCTAGACAAGATTTCCAAAAGAGCTGAATGTACTTGCCACAAACTTATTTCAGTCGTATCTATGGGTTGAAATGTTTCTGTTATAATTCCTCTGCATAATTTCATTACAAATGTCTGACCTTAAATGATCTCTATGAAATGAAGCAAATTATGTAGAAAAGGACAGCTATTTTAAGTTACCAACAAAGACCATATATATATATTTTTAGTACTGATTAGCAAAGTACATACAACCCCTAACACTGTTAAAATGGAAACAATATTCTCACTACAGAATGTCCCTCAACTGAAAGGCTGGCAAGTACATTACACAGTGGAGTTATATCTATTAAGTACATTTTGGCAGTACCTTAAAACAGTCAAGTAAAAAGGACCTTCACTTCAAAGCTACCTACGTACCTAGGCTATAGTTTTTCCTCAAAATACTATTAACAATATTGGAGAGTTCTAAAGCAACTAAATTACTTTCTTTAGCTATTTTACTAGTTTACTTATTTAAAACAAAACCAAAATAAGGAAGAGTCCTAACAAAGTGGCTATGGGCCTATAATTCCTGTACTCAGTATGCTTGAGCTAAATGAGATCCTATCTCAAACTAACAAACAAACAAACAAATGGGGGCAGCTCAACTAGTAGTACAAACGGTACATATTTTTAAAGCAAATTCTGAGTTCAAAGTAACATTACATTTACCTTTTCAGTAATTTTAACTGCCAGGACAATTTAACAAACCTAGTAGTAGGCCCTATTATTTGCCTCTATGCGCTACGGAGTTTATATATTCTCACATAAAAGTATTTCAGGGATAAGATCAAAGGGATCTAGAGAGTGAAATATTAGAACATTCTGAACAAGACATTATGATCCGCCCACACATGTTAATTATCGGTACGACAAAACGGCATAGTGGGTAGAGAGACTACCATTTTCTTTTCCTTCCTGCACACGATCACAAATTACGGGGGCAGGAGGGACGAAAAGATAGCTATAATCTGAGTTTGATTTCGCGACAAATTACAGGAAGATCACACCTGACTACTACGCCAACTAAATATCTGGCAGTGACTCCGCTGCCGGCAGCCTAAGACAGATTCTGTGAAGAAAGCGAATCAGACCCTAATTTCAGGCCTTTGCTGCTTGAACTCATCGCCCCCTCCCCGCCCCCATCGCCCTCCCGTATCGTATGGAGGACTGATCCCATCGCAGGGTTTATAAATGTTATGTCTGAAAACACAGCAAAGAGAGGGCTGGGGTCTGCCAACCTCCTCGGCGGAAGGTGGGCGTCAGGCGGCCCTAACTACGGGTAAGCGATAGGCCGGCGCCCTCGGGAAGCCGGCTTGCGGCCAGTGCCCGCGGCAGCGGCTGGGCGCTCGCACTGGGCCCTGAGTGCGCAGCGGGGCCTGAGCTCTCTGCTGTTTGCCCCGCACGGCCGCTCGGGCTCCCGCCTCCCTCCGCAGGGCCGGGTGGTAACCGCGGCCTCTCGGAGGAGGAGGCGACGTGGGCCTGGATGCCCCGCGGGCCACCCCGGGCGTGCCCGGCGCTCATCGGGGCCCAGCCTTCGGCCCGGCGAGCGCCAGCTCCGCCCGCGCTAGAGATGCCGTCAGCCCGCCGCCCCCACTCGCCCACCCCGGGAAGCCCAGACAAAGGCCGGGCAGCCCCCGCAGCCCGCGACGCTGGGGTTGTGTTCACCTCCGGCGGCTCCTGCTCGCTGCGGCTTCTCAGGCTTCTCCTCTCCCGCCTTCCCGTCCGCCATCTTCCCCGCCGCGGCCTCCCCCTGCAGCCCGGGCAAGGACGTCACGGCGCCGCCCAGCAACCATAAAGCTTCGGGCGGGCCAGCGAGGCGGCAGCCTAGAGCGGCCCTGCAGCGGGAGACAGAAGCGGATGTGACGTCGTAGGCTTGGCGCCGCAGAACGGGGTGTGTGGCGGTGGTGGGTGCGGAGGGCTGCGCTGTCACATGGCAGGTCCGGGTTAGTGTGGACTGCCTGACCGTGGAGGGGTTGGTAGAATCCTAGGTTTCTGCATGCCCAGGGGTGGCTGCAGCTGGCTCCTCATTTTATGGGATAGAGCTGTATTCTCACAGGGAAAACTCGGCAGTTATCGACCACCGTCTGATATTGGCATCTCTCATGCCCTGTCACTGAATCTCCAAGACAGTCCAGTGCGAAATTGTACTTTCGTATACTGACACGTGGATGCATGCAGGCCAGAATAGGGCACCAGATATCATAATAGATGGTTGTAAGCCACCATGTGGTTTCTGGGAATTGAACTCAGAACCTTTGGACGAGCAGCCAATGCTCTTACATCTCTCCAGCCCAATCATCATATTCTTTCAAGTAAAAGTATCCTGTGGGAGTTTTATCATAAAAGCTACTGCCAGTTTTGCCTCTTAATCTGCACAGGCACAATGAATAGAACTGTCTTGTAGCCTCCCTGTCATTTTTCTCGCTCCAGTGTTAGTCTTTTACTTAACCACTGCAGGCCACTTCTCTATCAAGTCAGACTCTGTTAACTACCACCTCCTCTAGAAACCTTTAGTATATTAATTGTTGAAGTCCATGCACTACATATGCCTACAGCTTCATCTATGTTTGTTTCTTTTCTTTTTCTATACTTACTAAGCCCTCTGCCCAAATTTGGTCAATTACTAGCCTGCAATATACAATCAGTGTTAGAGAATATAGTTTTAAAATCCTGAGCTGTCCTCCAAACATTGAGAGCTGCTGCCCACAGACCTGCTTTTACTTCTCTGTGAATTAACAGTGTATGTACCTCAATTGGCAGAGTGTTTGCCTAACATGCAAAAAACGCGATGGGTCTCATCACCAACATTACATAAACGAAGTGGTGACACAGATATATATATAATTCCAGCACTTGGGAGGTAGAGGTAGGATCATCCTGGTATGCAGGAGACCCAGTATCCAAATAAATACTAGTACCTCTTCAACAGGTGGTCATGGGATAGATACCATCCTTTGCTACACAGCCAGTATAAAGCCAGCCAGAGCTACATGAGATCCTGCTGTCAAAACTCAAAACTATCAACAGATGTTGATAAAGTGTTTGCTACATTTCATTATTCTGTTGTCTCAAGAGCAGAGTTCATATTTCTAGTACTCACTTTAAAAGCTGGGATGCCTCTAGTCCTAGTGCTGGGGAGGCTGGGGCAGTTCCTCGGGGTTTGCTGGCCAGCCAATGCAGCCAGCTCCAGTTTCAACAGGACACCATTCTAAAAAATTAAAGTGGCACCAGGGATGGTGGCACATGCCTTTAATCCCAGAGGCAGAAGCAGGATGATCTCAAAGCCAGTTTGGTCTGCATAGTAAGAACATGTCTCAAAATAACTAAATCAAGACAGCTGATCAACACATGCATGCATACTCATCAATGGGAAGAGTTGCTTGTTTGGGAAGCTGCTTTGCTATTAAGTATTCACTCTGGCCTTTACCTTGAAAATTACAAGATCTTTTGCCAAAGCTCCTTTAACTTGTGTGATCTTGGACCATTTTTGCTATACAGGTAGTTTAAGACAACCCTTGACTGCTCCACGAACCCCTTCCTTGTATTGATGTTTTTTGTTTTGACTATATAAAGGAGCTGTGGAATAAACTGGGCTGCTACAGTTTTTACTGTCTTGCCACTCAGGTAGGTACTTTCCTGGCAGGCTCTGGAGTAACAATTAAAAAGCAACCACTTTTCAAAGCACCTTATATAGGGGTTTTCCTATATGAAAGCTGTTCAGTATTTGTTAATAGGTAATTCAGGCTTCAAGTAGAGGATGGGAAAGTACCTTTATAGTAGTATGGTAGTGGGGGATTTGGTAGGGATTTTGTAATCTAAGTCGGAAGTTCTCAGTTTGCTATTTAGCACACAATTATATCCAAGTGATCAGGAAACTATCATATAGCAGTATTTGGTTCCTTTTGTTTTACCATTTCTCCTGAATGGTTCTACAAGGTATTTAAAAGATTCTCACATTTCTTGTGTTATAATCCCAGCACTTGGTCAGCACAGGCAGATGGATGTCTGTGAATTCAAGGCCACACAGAGCTATACCCTGAAACCCTGTCTCAAAAAGAAAAAAAAATATATTTAACACCCTAGGTTACTCTTTTCTTGAATATCTTGTATAGACTTGGCTGTCTCCAACTTGCTGTTAAGCTAAAGCTTTGGTCCAAAAAAAGAAAAAAAAAAAAAAAAAAACACCCAAGGATCCAAACCATAAGTCCAGAAACCATATGAGACCAGAAGCATGGCTCAGGCATTAGAATCTAGGTTTACTTCCCTGCATCCAGTTTGGGCATCTCAAAACTACAGTAAGGTATATTTTCTTCTGGCCACATGGTTACGCACATATGTCATACATCCACACAAGCAAATACACAATAACTAAAAAAAAAAAAAAAACTTTCTTAGTCAGGGTGTTTCTATTGCTGTGAAGTGACACCATGACCACAGCAACTCTTATAAAGGACATTCAACTGGGGTGGCTTACTGTTTCAGACTATCATCAAGGCAGGAAGCATGTTGGTGAGCAAGTAGACATGGTGCTGCAGGAACACAGTTCTACATCTAGATCCACAGACAGCAGGAAGGCTGCCATAATAGGCATGGAATGGTATCTCAGACTTCAAAGGCCACCTCGTTATGCACTTCCAACAAGCTATACCTACTCTAACAAGGTCGTACCTCCCAATAGTGCCACTGCCTATGGGGACTATTTTTTTTTAAACCACAATAACTTAAGAAATGTTTAAAGCCATGACTAGAGAAACATTATTTCCTAGGAATGCTATCCACACAGTAAATAGTATCCACTAACCAATTACTTGTTTTTTTTCCAGCATTTGTATTCACATGTGTGTATATGCTTGCATAGATTGTATCCATATTTGGTACAGGTACCCTTAAGAGGCCAGACTGTCAGATCCACTGGAGTTATAGGTGGTTGTGAGCCACCTGACATGGTTCTGGAAACTGAACTCAAGTTCTCTGCAAGAGCCCACTGAGCCATTCTCCCAATTCAGATTTTTTTTTTTTTCCCCTAAGAATTTGGTTTTAAATCAAAACTCATTTTTCATAGTATAAGGAAATCACCGAACATGCCAGGGAGAAGCAATTTTGGATAACCAAAATTGTGTTAAGGAATATACCTTACCCTTAGTGCCTATAACATGCCTAGCATTGTACACAAGCTTTAATTTCATAATGGCTACACCAAATTTACAAAGACTTAATTTATTTTCTCAGGAAAGAATAGTTTGACATGGATAATGAATATGTATAATGGAGCTAGGCATGGTGGTAATCCCCTCATTTGGGATATGGAAGCAGAGAATCAGGAGTTGAAGCTGATAGGCTACTTAAGAAATCCCTCCCCTTGGGGCTGGTGAGATGGCTCAGTGGGTAAGAGCACTGTCTGTGCTCCCAAAGAAACCGGGTTCAATTCCCAGCACCCACATGGCAGCTCACAACCGTCTCCATTTACAAGGGATCTGACACCTTCACGCTGATGCACATAAAAAATTTAAAAAAAAGAAAAAAAATTAAAAAAAAAAAAAAAAGAAATCCCTCCCCACCAACAAAATCCATCAAAATTCCCAATCCAAAAAGGAAAGTCTAATATTCAAAGAATCTGCTACCAAGAAAAAAAAGTATCACAATGATGTTTCATTTTGTTCAATTCTAGATCAACTATAAACCTTTCTAATTGTTTTTACAACAAATAAAACATACTTTCAAAGTTTTGTAGATATTTAAATAAGAAAAAGACATAGCCCGGGGACAGTGGTACACACGTTTAATCTCAATACTTGGGAGGCAAAAGGAGGCAGATCACTGAGTTGGAGGCCAGCCTCTTGTATACAAACAAGGCTACAGAAAAATCTTGTCTTGAAAAACAAATGTTAGTCTGGAAAGACTACTTTTAAGGGACAATTCCACTTATGAAGATATGTTATTTTAACCATTTCCAATCTATTTAGTTCCTACATTATAGGTTTCTCATTTAGGTCACCTTTTCCATATGCGTACATTTAAGAGGCCTTTTGGAAATAAACTTAAAATCTTTTCTTCAGTTTCCTGAAAACTTCCTGAGAATGCCGAGTAACCTCTAGATAGCCAGAATGCTTTCTCCTGGGAACAAACTTCAGGGCCTCTTCCCAGCTACCAGTATTTTTCATGCAGAGCAGAATACGGATCATTTGATCTAAAGTGAGATTTTTGTTACCAATATTCCACTGTAAATACTTATCTAATGGAAGGCGTTCCGTTGCTAGATTTAGCCGTTTAGCCTTTGCTAGTGATATGCCTGTTTGTGAATTTTTATCAACAACCGATCCAATTATATAAATTTTATCATGCTTGAAGGTAGTCATAACGTTGGGAGAATTTGCTGTTAAATATATAATACTGTCCTTCGGAAATAAATCAATGGGAGATTTTTCGGTTGCTGTTAAGAGCAATTTATCCCATTTTTCTCCATAACGCTTAACTAACTCTCTATGATAAGCACCATCTGTTTTGAGATTGCAGAAATAAATGTGGAAAGGATCAACATTTCTTCTGTTCCACCCTTCACTTTCTAAAAGTTGAGAAACAGCATTCTGAAGTTCATTTGCTTTCATATAATTATCGTAAGACATGTCAAAAACCAAAGGTTGTCCAAACTGCATAGCCTGGACACCCTTCCAACCCATTGCAGCGCTCATCTTTCGGTCCCAGAGGCGAAGAAACATAAAGTCCCGTTGCTCTTCCTCAGTGCTTTCTAGCAACCTGGCCTTTTTGGCTTCTTCCCTGGCCTCTGCTTTTATTGCCTTCTTTTTTTGCTCAGCTTTTTTCAACTTTTCCTTACCATACAAATATCTTAAGTACTTCTTTTTGGCTGATTTAGAAGCACATTCCATAAGGGTTTTGAATTGTTCTTCAGTAATATGTTCTGGTACTTCTTTGCCAAGCAATCTCCACATCTCAATTAATTCTCTGGTGGCAGCTAGAGAATCTTCATCTTTATCTGAAACTGTTGAAACACCATCTCCTTGAATGCTAGATTTCATTGTAGTTTTCCACCCATCCAATTCCAGCTGTTCAGAAGGGGATGTACTGTCATTATGACAGGACAAAGAAGGTACTTTGGAAGACATACATCTCTGTAGAATTGTTGAATATAAAGTCTTTCTCTTCCTATCAAAAGTAAATGGCACCAGTAACCTGGGAAAAGTTCTTAGGAAATGGACAGTAACATTCATTTTGAAGAAATGTGAGGAACCCCTAGAAAAGAAAAATTAAAAGTAAGTTAGATAAAGATTTTAAAACTTCCTTGGGTCTTGGGAATGCTGGGTCTGCCACAACTGGGAATATTTTGACCCCACAGCCATCAGGGAAAGCCACTTCTCAGCTACCAGGGCATTAAACTTGTTGAAGGCGCACATCACTAAGATGTGGATCTTCTGGCTGTCAGCAAAGCTGAAGTTGGCTCTAACAGGGCCTCAGCCACACATTCCTTATTCTGCAGCTTGGTGTGGATAGACCTGACCTGACCAATGTGAACCCTGACCACTGTGTTCTAGGAAGCCCAAACACTTGTCTAGACCCTAGGATGAAAATAGCATTGCAATGAGACATGATTATCCACTTGAAAACTGTCTCCAAGGTCCCTTTGGGCAACCTGTACATTCAACAGGCTGCATACACTACCAAGGAGGATGCTGTTTGCAACCATTGCACACCAGAACCCCACGAAGAAAGGAACCTGGTCGGCTTAATTGGCTGCACAAGGCAATTGATTTCTGAAGCATGAAGTGAAACCTTTGAAGAACATAAAATGTTATACACAATTAATTTAACTCCTAAGCTTGTGATCACTTACTGGTCAAAAAATTTTGTGAGACAAGGGTCTTGTCATGCTAACCAAGGTGATATCAAACTCAACCTGAGTGATCTGCCTCAGCCTATAATTGGCACTATAGCCATGTATCACCACACCCTGCTACTTTATATATTAATTTCAATATATTTTTAAACAGAAGGTTGACCCAAATATCCTTTTTGGATTTGTTATAGTAATAGGCCTTGAGGATCAATGTAACTAGACAGCAAAATTATATGGGAATTACAGGGCTGAGAAAAAAATGCTATAGTCTCCTCCAGATACATATCCAATCTCCAGATCCTTCATAAATGCAAAAAGGAAGACAAGAAGGCGGAAATTTACATAGGATGGCACCTGATTAAAAAAAAAAAAATACTGAAGAGCTGCCCCACAAACTACTTTGTGCTTCCAAAACAGAAATCCAGAGCAGCTGATTAAAACAATCAACAAATGTTTCAGCTGCGAGTTTATAGCAAAGAATGTTATAAAATAAAATGTCCAAAAGTGGGGCGAATATATGTAATGCTCCATAATTTTATCTTGAGGAACTGGTTGTTCCACAAGACAATGAAGATTCTTAAAAGTTTGTGAGCTGATGTAAAATGTGAGAGGAAAAGAAAATTCCACCGGCCTTCGGCTTCCTGTAATGATCCTCTGGTCTGTGCAGATGCCGAAATACACTCCTTCCCAGCCCAACATAATCATAACTTTGTGTTCTGTTCAGACCCAAGTTCATTACTGTGGCTTAAGCACGTTTCCATATCACCCTTTGCTTGCCTTTTCAGCTGCACACCTCTTCATTTCACACTTTAGATCAAGCTGTCCTATTAGTTTCACAGCATCCTGTTCCTATAATACTATTTTCGGAACTATCCCATTTGGATAAGTACTGTGTCTATACAGCTAGACGTGGCCAGCCTGGTCTACATAGTGAGTTCCATGCCAGCTCGGGATACAGTAAAATCCTGTCTCAAAAAATAAAAACCATTTAGACCTTAAAGATTTAAAAACACCCCCCCCCCAAATAAAAACTGATACCAGACTTTGAGAAATATTTAACTCAGGATCCTCCGGCCCTGTGTTTGACAGTGATTTCAAAAACTTCGCTTTGGTCCAGGCGTTGACCCTGCCTCCAAAAAAATAATGATAAAAACAATATGGTTGCGTGTTGCTTTTGTAACTAGTGGAGACACTTTTGATAATAGGAATTAAAACACAAAAATAATTTTAAAATTTTTACAGGTTCTCCACTCTTTAGCGCAGGCTGGCTAACTCCAACCGCCTCAGCCTCAAACTACAGGCCTCGCCCGCCACAATTATTATGTAAACCCAATTTTAAAAGGATTTTATCTTAAAGTTCTACGTGTGCGTCTCTGCAGGACTAGTTCCGTGCTCCGGTATGCGGGTGCCGGAAAAGACCAAAGGCACGGGGTCACCTGGCCAGAGATACAGGAAGTCAGTTGTGAGCCGTCCGAGGTGGGTGTTGAAAACCATACTTAAACCCTCTGCAAGAGCACTAAGCATCTTTAACGCTGAATTGTCTCTGCCACCCCTGCCAACTTAAAATTTACAGCGCGACGATGAAGATGATTTTGGCAAACAGGGCTTGTGCGTCAGGTCGTTTGTTAACTTACGATCTGTGAATCACAGCTTCCTCCCGCCTGCAGCTGTTCGCGCACACGCTCCACAGCCTGCGTCCAGGAAGGCCACCGAGTCTACGCAGCACCAGCACCCCGGCATTGGGAAGCCCGCAGGTACAAGAGTGCGGGCCCCAGAGCGGATGGCCGAGACACGCGAACTGGGGAACCCGGGTGCACACCGCGGCGGGAACAGCACGGGGCGTAGAAAGGACGAGGGCTGCCCGCGGCGGCCGCCGGAAATCCGGTGTCGCCGGAAGCCCCGCCTATTCCGGCGCTACCTCTGACGTTTACCCGGCCTGCAGTTTCCCCGCTTAAAGTTGGTCTGCGGGCTCGCTACCTGGCTGCGCTTGTGCCTTTGTGAAAATGAGGTCTTGAGTCGGCTCGGGGGCCTTGTCGCTTGCGCCCCGCCACTCCATTTATTGCTTAGTCGTTAGGACTGGAATTTTTACAGCCTCTCAGTTTGGTTAGTCTAGCTATATGCATGTAATAACAGTAATAACAAAAACGATCCGACGCAAGTCTTCCTGTTGTGGATGTAAACATATCTTTGTTTTGATCCCAGGTGTAAAATAGGGGATTGATCCAGATTGTCCACAGCAACAAAATATTTGCCCCATGCAGGCTCTGAGAGGGGCCCTTTGCCAGTTGCAGATAGTTTAAATCTGAGGACCCTGAGAGGGAATAAAGGCCAGAGTCCAGAGATAGAGGGGTGCTCTGAGAAAAAGGGTGCTGGTGTCTACCTTGCTGTTCCTGTTGATACAGTTGGATGAGAAGCGATTAGCTCCAAGAAACCTGACAACCTTAAGCAGCAAGAAGTAGCTTAAGAACTACGCTGTCTACTAACGTTCCTTCTCTCCTACCCGGTGTTGGGTGTTAGAAGGGATTGGGATGGAGAAGGAAGAAAGACATAGATTTGGGGGCAGAGGCCAGGGAGGCTTTGGAGGCCGAGAAAAATTTCATGGCTGCTTGGAGGGGGCTAGGAGGACTGCTAGCTGCGCTTGCCGGTTACTTGGTTACCTGGACTACTGGATTTCCTGACAACAGCGGATATTTTTTTCCCCCCAAAAGAATCCTACGACCCTACCCAGCAGGAAGAAGAAGCAGCATCCCCTTTCCCTTCCAACACCATAGTATCAGGTGCAAGAGAGAAAAGGTTAGTGGGGAAAGGAGGCAGAGTCCTCTTTACTTTTTCCTGCTGGGTAGGGTCACAGGATTCTTTTGGAGCAATACCAATATTCGTCATCAGGAAATCCAGAAGTCCAGATAACCAGCAAATGCAGCTAGCAGGCCTCCTCCAAGACCCTGTGGAAGCCTCCAAAGCCTCCCCGGCCTCTGCCCTCAAATCTACCTCTTTCTCCCCACACTATCCCAATCCCTACCAACACCCGACACCAGGTAGGAGAGAAGGAACAGTAGGTAGTTGGGAAATGGGGTCATAGTTCTTAGGCTAATTCCTGCTTAGGGTTGTCAGGTTCCTTGGGGCAAATCCAGTCTTAGGTTCAGGTTATCTCTAACGTCTTCTGATCCAAATGTATCAATAGGAACAGCAAGAGTGGACACCAGCAGCTTTCTTCCTTCTCAGAGCTCTCCTCTCTCGACTCTGGCCTTCATTCCTTCTCAAGAGTCCTCAGATTTAAACTATGTGCAGCTGGCAAAGGGCCCCTCTCAGAGCCCTTATGGGGCAAAGAGTTTGCTGCTGTGGACAATCTAAATCAGTCCCATATGCTACACCTGGGATCAAAATCAAAACATTTTTCCATCCACAACAGCTTACAGTTCTATTTTAAAATTTAATTCTAGCCGGGTGTAGTGGCTCACGCCTTTAATCCTAGCCACTTGGGGTGGCAGGGGTGGCCTGGTCTACAAAGTGAGTTTCGGGACAGCCAGAGATACATAGAGAAACTCTCTCAAAAAACCAAGAATGTAAAAAAGTAAATAAAATTTAATTCTAAACCTGATTGATCAGTTTACTGCCAGTACCCACTACAGTGTGCGCATACCAGGTCACTCAGGTGCTGGTCCTCAGAGGAAAGTGGCTTCCTGAATTTGAGGCCAGCCCAGTCTACTAAGGGAGTTCTAGGACAGCTAAGGCTACTTAGAAAGACCCTGTCTTAACAACAGCAAAGATTGTTCAGTGACACTTGAGATATCAGTAACCATTGAAAGTAAAAGTCAATACTCAAGTGCTAGGAAGTGCTAGGGGAAAGTAAAATTTTTTAGCTTGTTGAATTCTTTCTGCAGTTCATGATACTAAATTAAGGGTTTCATAATGACATTATCTTTCTGCCCTAAGGTAAAGACTTCCTTAGTAATTGTGAATAATATACAGTAGCAACAGACCAGGTATTTGCAAGGACAAGCAAAGGCATAGGCCTTTAGCCAGGCATGGCATATGGCTTTAATCCCAGGACTTGGGAGGTCAACCTGGTCCACAAAGTGAGTTCTGGGACCGCTAGGGCTGTTACAAAGGGAAACCCTGACTTGAAAAAAACAACAAAAAAAGGGCACACACTTGTAATCACAGCATTTGGGAGTTAGAGGCAGGCGAATCTCTGGGAGTTTGGGGATAACCTGGTATATACTGAATTCCAGGCTAGCCAACGCTATGTAGTAAGAATCTGTTGAAAAGAAGGAGGGGAAATACAAATATGGAGAAAACTCTTCTACAGCCTGCCCACGTAACCAACTCTTGTGTTTTTGTTGGTTTTGTTTTGTTTTGTTTCTGGTTTTTTTTTTTTTTTTTGGATGCAGGATTTCTCTGCATAGCCTTGGCCATCCAGGATTTGCTCTGTAGACCAGGCTAGCCTCCAACTTACTCCTTGCCTATGCCTCCTGAGTGCTGGGATTAAAGGCATATGCCATTAGCACTCAGCTTTAACTAACAATACAGTAAACAGCCCAGAAAGCTATCCTGGCATGAAGTAGACATGGAGGAAGTGATCTTTCTTTCTTTCTTCCAATTTTTATTTATTATTTATATCGTATTCTTCCTGCATGTGCGCATGCACACCAGAAGAGGGCAGCAGATCTTATTCCAGATGGTTGGGAGCCACCTTGTGGTTGCTGGGACTTCAACTCAGGACCTTTGGAAGAACAGCCAGTGCTCTTAACCTCTGAGCCATCTCTCCAGCCCAGGAAGCCATATTTCTATCTCCTGCGACATCCCAGAAAACAAACTAATAATTTCTGTGAGAACTTGTGCCAAATGGCCAGGACAGGTTAATAACTGATGGCTTTACTGCTTTTTAAAAATCATCCCTGTGTATATGTGGTATATATAAATTTGTAAGTGCAAGTATGAGCACATATATGGAAATCAGGAAAGCCTTAGGTGTTGATCCCTCTTTCACATTGCTTGAAGAAAGGTTTCTTTGTTGCTTTTCTGCTACATACACCAGCTTAGATGCTGTGAACCTAGAGATTTACCGGTCTTTGCCATCCATTTTCCAGTTGGAGCACAGATTGTAGATGTCCACACTAATGGGTTCTCTTCACTGAATGATCTCACCTGCTCAGCTTTGCTATTTTTTTTCCCTGTTGATAATCTGAGATCAATCAGAAAAGGTCAAATATATACTCCTTCCCAACCCCTTAGGATGTTCTACTTCCAGTAGGTTCACCCAGAAGACATACCAAAAGCCTCTATTCACACTGTAAGGCATAACTGCTCTTCTGTCTTTGAATTTCATCCAGAACAGTGATGGTCATCCATTCCTTGATACAGAAATCTCAGCATAAATGGGGTTTGGCTTTCTCATTTTGTTGCTCTTTATTTATTTCCATAGCAGACATTAATAAATGTCTTAGTTGGGGTTACTGTTGTTATGATGAAACACTAGGAGCAAAAGCAAGCTGGAGAGGAAAGTGTTTCTTTGGCTTACACTTTCACTTGTACTCTATCACTGGAGGAAGTCAGGCCAGGAACTCAAATGGCAGGAACTTGGAGGCAGAAGCTGATATGGTACCCATGGAGGAATGTGGCTTAATGGCTTGCTTTGGATGGCTTGCTCAGCCTGCTTAACCCAGGACCACCAGCCCAGGGACGATTGTAGAGAGGTGCTTGATTTCACTCTGGCCTTCACCTGGAGGTAGGGATAGGCAGGATATTTTGCCAAGTTCATTTCCTTTTGTTTGTGTGAGGATCACCCAGACACGTGGCTGAGGTTTGACTTCTCAATGAACCCCTTCATTTTATCAAGGTGCTTTGCTCTGACTATAAAAAGGAATTGTGGAATAAACCGGTGTGACAGTTTCTACTGGCAGCCCTCTCGAACTGATCCTGTGTGTCATGTGTTGGCTTTTTAAAAATTTTCTTTCAATCTTCACTCCTAACTCAAGAACTTTTTGGCTCTGCCAGTGGGGTCCGGCAGATGACCCCACCTACAGTGGACTGGACTTTCCCCTGTCCATCACTAATCAAGAAAATGCCCTATAGCTGGATTGTATGGAAGCATTTTCTCAATTGTGTTTCCCTCCTTTCCTGTGACTCTTGTCACTTGTGTCAGGTTGACATAAAACTAGCCAGCACAATGAATTTTACTGTTAACCAAATGGAAATTACAGTAGTGGAAATGTGTTGGGAAAAAAAAGGTCCTTGCCCTCACAGATAAGCACTAGGAAAACCAGGAATGTTAAACACAGAATTGTCTCTTCAATGTGAGAGATGTACAACCTATTTTTCCACCCAGCAGGAGGTGGGTTAATAGCCTGTTTTTCTGTGCTATCTGTGGAGATAGGCCATAGCAAGCTCCCACAAGCAGGATCAGGGGTAGCTAGTAGCCCAAATGACTTTTACACTATTTGTGTGACAGAGAGCACACCAGATCCTACTCTCAGTCCTTCAGCTAACACATGTAGCCTATCTGTAGAACCCATCTTCATGGAAGAAGTGACATGTACTTTGAGAAAAGTTTTGGTTCTTCCATGTACACAAGAGATTATGTTACACGAGGAGACCTTTTTCTAAATTGTACTGTACTTAAATATGCCTACAATAAACTGTCTAGTGTTAGACTCTAGAAGTTTGAGCCAACACCGGCTACTGAGTTGTATTGAACAGGACTTCCTTCTTGGCTCAGGAAGTCATTACCAGTGATAATATCTCCCAGCCCTGATTGTCTCAGAGACCCCCAAAGAAATGAAATATGAATCAGGCTGTGTAAGTTATGATCCATATATAAGATCACTGTATATAGTGTTCCCGATGTCTGAAAAGGTAAAGT